ACAAATGAAACAGACAATATTCTGCATATTTTGATGTTTTTAAGCAACGTTGTTGTTTGAGTTAGCGTCTACTTTTCTTTCAAGCATCAAACATTTTTTGACCTCCCAGCTTTAGTCAAATAATCTGGGAGACAAAGTTGGAATTTGAAAACAGGGAAGCATTTAGCCGCAGCGTTAGCATGTACTAAAAACAAAGCGTAAGAATAAGAAATACCAATTCAGATATTCCTCCACAAATCATGATGTAGTTCCTGCAGGATGACAATATATTTGCAAAATGGCAAAAGCATTAGGCACCCTAATAATAATAATAATGATAACTGGTAACCAATTGAGCCGTCCCATGTTGCAAAGAACCGCATCGAAAACGTGTACCTGCACTCGGCCAAAAGTGTACAAATTCAGAGCAGTCGCTGGATAAGCAGTGATTTTTTTTCCTACTGCTGTAGTATTTATAATCTAGTGTGACTGACCCATCACTCACCTGATAACCCTGATACTGCTGCGACTCATGATGATTGTTCAGAAGCGTTAAATACTGGTTTGTTCACACAATTAAAATCTTCCACTTTTAGACATTGTGAGAGATTCTGTTTGGGATCTTGAGATGAGCAGGAATATTTTAATGACATGTAACGAATGTAAAAACAGCCAGTTTAAATTCTGCAAGGACTTCTTTGATGTATAGCTGAGGTTAATTGGCTGATTCGCGTCCTTCCCCTCCTGGGTTCTGCCTCAGTGGGTACCAAATAAACACCCCAGCGCACCCCTATAATGTAATTAATGCCTGTATCCATCTGTTATTAAGAAAATGCCACTCAGCAGCGCTGGTGCATGACGTTCAGGTCATGAATGGATGGTTGGCTAAATGCAGAAAGTGAACATTACGAAATAATCACACCGCAGCGCACCGGAGGAATTTAGCCATGCTTGTCTCAGTCAAAAAATGGCTGCATCATTAAAGCTCCCACGCTCAGTTTTGCAGAAAGTTCAAGACAAACAGCACTTTGCAATTCTGCTGCACAACTACGCAGCCTTGACTATGAATATGAAATGCTGTGCATGCCTCAGCACATCAAGCCAGTGAGTCAGAGGCCAGCAGAGGTGGGCGGAGGGTGCATTTGTTGTCATTCTTAACCTCGTATTTATTCTCTGCTGAGAAGATGCCTTGACAACGGTGACCTTGATACACGCTGCTGATGTTATGACATTACTAGCTCAATGAGCTTACACTTAGCAGCTTCTCTATAAGGAAGTTTTATCCACGTAGTTACACTATTCAGTAAAAAATGACTGTTCATGTGGTTTTATTGATATTATTAAAGTTTTCTTTAACCATTCAGTTCAGGCTTATTTATATAGGGCCAAATCACAACAGTCTCCTCAATGCATTTTATTCTTTAAGGTATAAAGCACTTTGTGATGGCAGGAAAGAAAAAAACTCCCAGAGGACAGAGAAAGGATAAATAGCAAAAACCTGAAGATCAGATCAGATCATATTAACTCCAAACTTTATGACAGGAAGTATCTTTGTTTGAATCAGAGTAACATGGCTTTTTAGTTTAACCCTGTGTGGTGAAAGAGCGCACGTCACCTCTTCAGCTGCTCACGTGCTCTGTGGCCAATAGATATCAGCGGGATTCTGTTTAGGCGCATGACGTTAGATCGCAGAGGAACCAGAAAAACACATTGTGCATATTCATGTCCTGAACTGAGCCAAGAATTCTCTCATAATGAATGTCTGCATGGAAGACAGATCTACTTAAATGTCTAGATAGGCTAATTAATGTTCCCGCGAGCAGGAGAGAAAAGCACCTGCTGTCACACAACATCGTGTCTTGTTTAACCTAAAACATGGAAACAAAACAGGCAAAATCATTTAATTATATGTTTGGAAGTGAAATATACTTTGTGCTCACACATGGAGTTTGTGTGGATTACACATCAAGTCATTCTTGATCTTTATGGACTGTGAAACCATAGATAGATAGAAGCTTTTGCTTTCAGCAGAAGTTGGTATGTAGTTAATTTTTTGTCTGTGTGCTCGGCACGATTTAAAAATGCCGGCAGGTGTTTTTGGGCTCCTCTTTGTTGCTAAAATAGACTGATCACCTGCTAGCTTCAATTCAAGGCTGAACACGGGAATAACTAATGGTATCAATATTCTCATCTAACTCTCAGGAAGAAAGCAAACAGCTGTATTTCTCGAACGTCAGACTCTAGATGTATACGGCACATAAAACGAGGTCATTACTTTAGCGATAGAAAAGCCGTATTTTCACTAGTGAAGACATGTTGTCAGTAATGACAACGTAAATATATCAGAGTAATTGGCAAATGTATGTCCTTTGTTCAAAAGATGGAAGTTGCTAATGCTAATAAAGACTTCATTACCGTTAAATTATAAGGTTTCAGATTATATTCACCGGTTAATTAAAAACAGAAGCCTCAAAGGCTGACTGGATAGATCTCTATTACCCGTCTGAGCTTCAATAAAACAAAAGAGGGTTGTTTTTAAGCCCAGAAGAACAGGCTACTAATGTTTATTTCTCTTCATCCATGGCCTTCTGCATGTGCTTATTTGCTATTTGAGTTAGCAAGTGTGTATCTGTGAAGAAAGGTTTAATTGATAGGGCCTCTGAGTAGCTGCTGATGGGATTGGCTTGGAGGACAATTTTATTTATTTTCCATTTAGATTTTAAGTGCAATCTAGTAATTCGCGTGTCCTGTTATATTCACACAGCCAATGAAAATGGTTAAATGAAAAAGCAATGCTCTTATCATTTTATATGATCCGCTTTGTTGCCTTTTTTTTTCCTTCCCCTCTCCGTCTGCAGAGAGTCTTTGTGTAGCTTTACCGCCGATGCTAAGAGACTAAAACGCCCGCTCGCCTGTGATGTTTACAGCACAATGAAATACACACTGCTTTTTATGAACGCCATAGGATTGATTTCGTCTGACATTAAATGGGCATCACAGAGAGAAGAATGATTGTTTTATTCTCTTTCTCTGCTGGTCAAAGATGTCAAACTGACATTCACTGTGTGAGCCGAGACGCTTGCTTGATGCTCCGCAGCCCTCGACTGGCATCTCATTCTCATGCACCCCATCGTCCGTGCCGCTATTTCTGTTTGTTTTAAAGGCAGAGGGTGGGGAGAGAGCGCAAACGAGAAGTGTCCACGGGCCCTTCAGCAGAAGTTTATTATCTTGCCTTTGCTTTTAAGTACTTTCTTCTCCTCATTTGTATTCCAGGTCTTTGTGAATTTTGCGAGGCAGCAGCACGATGAAGAGGACTCTGAGGCCTATAGCAACCCAGTGGATGTTTCAGACGAGCTGCCGTTGGAGTATCTGAGGACCTCCCAAGGAGCAGAAAAGGTGTAACGCGCACAAGAAAAGAACCGCATCTACAGTCGTCCAGCGATATGCCTTTAAAATAAGGGAATCTGCAGTACTTGCACTGGCAACCAAATGAGTTCCTAACCTAATTTAGCTTTAATTACTAAATATAGCATGCCCCTGCTTTCAGGGTTTATCAGCAGGCTTGCAAAGTTTCCAATTATTCATGATGTTTTCCATAACTGTCCCTCGCCAAGCCAGTTTTTTAACTCATTTACAAATGCCTGATTTTTTAGCCTTCCTTTCATTCTGACACCGTAAATAGTTGGTTACAGTGAATGCTACTGCAAAGTTTGTGGAGTTTTCTAGAACTCCCTGGTTTGACACAAGGAGGGCGGGTTGCTGCACTAGAATCGTGACGTATTCAACTCGATTATCCAAATTCTTCAACATGCAGAGTCAATCAATTTTACATTTAAAATAAAATAATTATTTTTCTTTTTTACCACACAGGCTGATTTCCATTTGACTAAAACCAACTTTAAGAGCAAAGCCTGACAAAAATGACTTAATAAGATTGTAGGTGCGAGTGCAGGAAATGCTGTATTTCACAAAGGTTAAACAACTGAAATAACACCACTTTGGTTTTGTTTGCACATTTATTGTAGATCATTCCACCACATCTCCCTCTGTGCTTCCCCTAGCATTACAAATTGCACGGCACTACCTCAGCCTTGACCTTCAGATTGACTGATGCTTTAGACTCCTATCATTTGTTTACGTTTGCTGCTGATTGAACAAAGATAAATCAACTCAAAAAGTCTAAAGCAGCAGTTAGTTTCAGGCTGCCATCCCAGCTGCTGATAGGCACTCCAGTGATAAATAACTACTCTGCCACATGTATTGGCTTTGTATCTGAAGGAGCTAGCCTACAATTAGCTGTAGATGGTGTTCAATAACAAGCACTGAGTTTGCAGCAGTGGCTGTCGAACATGTTGCGCCTGCAAGAAAGGTGCTAAATGTTTGCACCGGCCAAAGCTTGCAGGGCTTTATCTCTATTATATGTAGGCATCAGGAATGTAATCGAGCGCACGTCAAATGTTTCATGAGATTTAGTAATGAATGTGTGAGCAAAAACACATTTTTATTTATATTTTGTTAGCTTATAAGGCCTTAAATTTTAAGATCCTTCTGCTGTATTTTTGCTGGCTTTGGCACAGTTCACCTTCTACATAAGTAGTTCTGCCTCTGAAGATGTGGTCATAATCTTAATCACACATAATCCTGTTTTCTTTTTATACTTTAAGTTGCATTGATCAGATACGGGTACCTAGCTAGCTAAGCTTGTTAGCTTCCTTCTTAGCCACGGACGCAATGCTTGGTTACTCAAAGCTAACTTGCCATACTTGCTAGCATTTTAGCCATAGCTAAATACCAGATGTGATGACACATGGGTGAATCTAAGACATCTATTGTAGGACACAGCATAAGCACAAAGGAAACTGAGATAGATTTTCTTATTTTTATATAGGACCAAAATTGGCATAAAAACTAGCATAAACTCAGGACTTCACGGAGTTCAAGTGAGAATGTTTGTCCTTTTCTAGACTTCTGTACAATTGTTCCTTTTTTGCAACTCGAGGAGTCACCCCCCGCTGGTCACTGGAAGAGATTTGCAACATCCATCTTTTAAATACAGTCTATGTTATCACTCATTCCTTTAGCATGTAAAGCCTTTGTTTGGTCTGGGAAATAGCTGATTGCGTTACCGGTACTTAAATTTTCAACCACCTATGGTATCAAGAATGCGTAAAAACTACAGAAATATATTTTTTAATGTATTTTTTTAAAGTTATTACAACATACAATTAAATTGTACAGACATATGTAAACTTTGGGCAAACAGTACACCTTATACTCCATTTCCCAAGTAAAAGTTAACTCAGGAAGGTTTTGTGTGCAATACTTACATGCTTATACAGAGAGTGACATTTAGTTCTGTCTTTTACTGTATGTACTGTGCGACATCAAGAGGTTATGTCACTGTCTCGCGCAGCTTGCGCTCGCATTACGTTGCGCTTTTGTGTTCAGGATGTAAATAAGTCCACACTTCACTCCTCACAGGCTTTCTTGTTTGCTTTCAGAGCCTGACATAATTTGTATGCTTTGCTAAGTCCTCACATTACTATCATGCACGTTGCAAAAATAATGAATCCTGTTTGCACTGAATATTGCTCTATGCCAAGACAAGTGATTAAACATTTGCACAAACTGTAATGCGACTTTGACTCGGTGTTTGTTCACTGCCGTATTTGTCCAACGAATCACCGAGTTCCAGTTTGAAAGTCTCTCTAGTTCAACTTCCTGCATGCTGTCTTATTGTTGTGTCCTTCCTTTCACTATTTCGCGTCTTTCACTCTGCGCGAAGGTGCCAGCTGCAGGCTCATATTTTGTTTTGTCTCTCATACATTCGTAACATCAACCGAGTCCATGGGACGCCAGAATTCAAACCGCACCACACTGGGTAAGGCTTTTTATTTCACATTTAGCAGAGTGGCTCCTTCTCAAGGGCGAACAGACATTTTGTCTGCCAGATGCCTGCAAATGAATTTATTTTGCTGTCAGACTATCACACAGACTCTTTTAGCGCGTGGGCTTCCAATTTATTTATTGTACTTTTTTTTCTTTTCAAACCAATTTAAAGCTAGTATACCTGAAGTTAGACCAATTCTTCTCCCAGTTTCATTTCACTATCACAAAACATCACAGCATATGTAGTTTTTCTTTTCAGACACAGTGTCTGCCAAGATTAAGACGTCTCATTTGTGTCTAGTAAAATAGTTCTCACACCCCTCTCAAGAGAAACCCTCGACTCACCTCCTTAACTATCATCTGTAATTTTCTGTCCAATTTATAAAGATAACTGAGGCATTTTTCTGTTTTCTAGCTCAGGTGCTAATGTATTTGTTTTTGTTTGTTGAGAGGCTTAGAAAGTGTCTGCTCCAGATTTCACTACATAAAAAATACAGCATGTTTCTAACTTAAATAGAATATATCTTTTTTTTTTTTACTTGAGTATGTTGTGTTCATATTTGCAAGTACTTTTCTTCTTAGGATATGTTCTTAGACACACTTCTGCACATCGTTACTTCTCACGTTTCACCTTGTTACCATCCATCCGTCTTTCCATCCATCACTGAGGTGTTCCCAATCCAGCTGATAATATCAGTTGGCTGATATTATCAGCTGGAATATCAGCCAGCTGACCCTTGGGTCTCCTTCCAGTCACACCCAGATCACTTTAAATAGGAGGTGTCCAAGAGGCAATGTAGTCAGAACAACTTCCTCTGTTCCTCATCTGAGTTCATCACCCTATCTGTAAAGGGGAGCCTGGACGCCCCCTTCTTTCGGTCACAGCCCACAAGGCAGAGGGTGGGAATGTAGATTGACCAGTAAATTGACAGCTTTACTTTCACACCAGTCTGTCTCCTGCTCCTTCCCTCCATCACTCATGAAGAAGCCCGAAAGATAGTAGATAATTCCATAAAAGTTATGAATAGAATAAAGGTCAGCACTGGCAGAGTCCAACACCTTTGCCTTACTGTGGAAACGGGGGGACCTTAATATGTATGCTCTTAAGCAGGAGTTAATTAAGTAACTGACCAGGAGAGCTGATTGTCTGGGGCTAAACAGAAAGAATACCTTAAATGTGTTAAAAGCATTATCTTTAGGTAAAAGATATTTAATTTTACATACCGTCTGAGACAAACACATTAGATGGACTACAGTTTGTCTCCCGTCCATCAACCCAAACCAGTCACGCTGCCCCTACCTCAACCAGGTATTATCAAAGGCTTCTTCCTGTTAAAGGAGAGTTTTTCCTTCCCACTGTCGCCAAGTGCTTTCTCTCATCTGGTTGTATTAGTCTTCTCTGTCATTGTAGGGTTTTAATGTTACGTTGTGATCTTGCGCTATATAAATAAAACTGAATTGTATTGACTTTAACAAGAAAACGTCTGATAGTGCAAGAAATGTGAGTATATAGACATTTTTTATTTAAGAGTAGAGCATGAAAAGCATCCTGACGACACCTGGGCTGTGGGTTGTACACGGTACTGTGACAGCGCTGTCATGACTTCAACAGGGTTAGTGAAGCTGCATCTCGACGTCTCGAGCTGACTGTCACCAGGTTGATGGAGACACCCCGGGACATGAGAAATCCCTGGCTCAAAGTGTGTCATACTTTATTGTCCTAATGGGGACTATACTTTAAAACATGAACATCATATTGTAGTCAAGACTTGAAACTAGAAATTAAGACCTTAAACGAAGAGACGAGCTACAGAATTGATGAACTGAGCACCAAGTAGGGTAACTTTCCTCAAAGGTTTACAACAAGAGTCGAAACTCCCTGCTGGCTGTGACAAAGAACATAAGTTTGAGACTCCCTAAAGTTACGTCTGTCTCTTACATACAGTCTGAAGAAACCAAACTTAATAACAATGACACCAAATCCAACAAAAGGTAGCTATGCAAAGAGACAATTGAGGCCGATTAACGAAGGCCACTTATTGTGCCTCAGGAAGTTGAGTGGATTGCGTACTAATAGGAAGGTAGATGGTTTGATCCCCAGCTCCTCTAGTCAGCTTGTCAAAGTATCCTTGGACCTCGAGTTGCCTCTGATGCATCCGTGTGAATGTGGGGAAAAGTGTTTAGTGGCTTGTAAGAATGAGTAAATGAAGTTTGAAGTAAAAAAAAATGAATAAATAGAAGTGGTTTCTACTCAACTAGAGTAGAAAAGTATCATATAAGTACCAGTCCTAAATTAGCTGACATGTTTGCCAAGGACCAGAAATGCAGTTGTGTCAGTGTGTTAATGCAAAGAATATAAAAAGCAAAGATTTCATTTAGAGCTACATTTGATCTCTTCTCTGATGTGATCGCACATTTTAAAAGAAAACATCCACTCTGTGGTAGTTTGTAGGTTATTATTTGGTATGAAATGATGAATGGAAAAACACCCAAGCAGTACAAGCAATTTCCATTTCAAAGACTCCACTCCTAATTTAAAGTTTTAGGCGTCGGGTTTGTCGTTGTTTCTTTTTCCAGTATTTCCTTTCTCAATAAATAATTTTTGTAAAACCGGTTAACTTTAAAAGACGAGTTTGTAAACAAGCATATATTATCCTCATAGCTGGTCTTTATCAGTCACGATGTACACAAAATACTCTCCGCCATCACTGAGCATTTGGCCAATCTTGGTGTCAAGTACAAGATTACAATAAAAAGCATTGTCAGTTGGAACGGGAAGATTACAGGAGTTAGAGGAGATTCAATGATCTGCTCGACAGGCAAGCTTTATAAAAGCCCCTGCCATTCTTTCAGGCTGTAATCATTCTCCGTGCTCTGAGTTTGCTGTTCTTGCTTCAGGGTGCCTTTTATAGGCGGCATAGAGTAGCTAGAAATTGGTACAATATCTTTGTTCATTCTCTCTTTTTTTTTTCCAGTGAAACTACTTCTGAGAACTTTTTTTCTATCTAGAATACTTAAAAAAATATGAGCTATTTTTGTGCTTCTCACTTTGAGAGTCTGTCTCAGTGCCATGTTTTTCTTGGTTTCTCACAGCAGCTAAAACAGCAGCAAAAACCCAAACGTAAAACATTACAGACATTAGGAGGTTTTATACAGTCAAATCTTAATCACGGGGTAGAAGTTGTTCTTTTTTACTTCTTACTTCACAATATCATGTTTCACCAGTCATGATGAGAATGTTTTTTCCTGCCTGCTTCTTCAGACTAACGCAACAATACCCGTAAAAGTTGTGGACTACATTTGAATCTGGACAACAAAAGGAAAAGATAAAGATTTACAAAAACATCTCTTATTCTATCCTTCCTAAAAGTCAAACATCCAGGAGTTGTTGTATAGAAAGACTATTTATAAACTGGCATCCTGACGCCACTTTTTTGAATGTACTAGCTTTTATGCTGCTAGCATGCAGGTTTTTATGGGCGAGACCCTTTTATGGATGAGATTAGCTGGATTATCAGCTAATGCTAGCAGGCTAGGTTAGCATGCTTCAAACATAAACGGCACTGTGTTACACCACTCCAGGACAACTTGGTGTAAACAGCAAACCCAGTTTATTTGGGTACTCCAGAACCATGGCTTTCACATACAGAACCCGAGAATACTCTCTTCTCTTTTTTTTTACGGAACATTTTTTTATTTTATTTTTGCCGTGACTGCCCTCTACTGGTGGAAAACATGTAGCAGCCAAAAACCCAAACATATAGCTGAATAGCCCAAATACCAACAGATTTATGCAATGTTTTAGACATATTTTAGCTTTACACTTTACCAAGTGCTACAGCTGCAATGCACAGACACAGATACCTGCTAATTTGTGCTAATTAACGGACTAATAAAATACTAGCATGTCACTTAGCCAAATAAAAACAGATACTAAAACTACAATATACAAGCAATGGACAGTTTGATGGCAGTGTGATGCGTCCAGTGGAAGCTTCAATACAGTGGCCTGACCTATTTTTAGAGCCAGGAACTGCAGTTTTTAGGAGAAAAGTGATATTTTGTGGTTAAACTTTAATGATGCTGCAAGTTTAAGACCTATGAGGTGTTTTTTTTTCTTCCTCAAACTACAGAATCTGTACTTGTGTTCATGCTCAGTTCTTCTCCTGTTACTTTGCACTGTTCTGTGAAAAATAATGCATGATGTGTTTTGTGCGATTTCCTGCATGAAACAGCCGTTATTTCCAGGAACGGGAAGGTTTTCAGGGGAAAGAAAAAGGTTTTATTTTTCAGATACGTAACACAACGTGCTTTTGGAAATCAACAATGTAAGTGTTTTAAGATTCACTCAAAAGTATTAGGCAATGATCATTTTTGCTACTGTTTCTCCTGAGGTAGTGTAAATTCTGAAAAAACATCTCTCACACCTTGAGTCGGCTGCATGTGCAGTCATTTAAAAGATGATATAACATCTCTTAAATTCAATAATTGAAATGACTCCAGAGTGCCAGTAGTGGGATGATAATGTTTAAACAGGCCTCACGCTGTAGCCGATTGAGGTTTTTACAACTGACATGTGGATTTTAATATTAACCTTGCTGATTTTTTTGATAAATACACTGGGCAGCTCACCAGGTTTTTTAAAGCAGGATCTCGATGAACGACCTTTGAAGGCTTCAGAACGCAAATTATTATTTTTCTTTAACTGGATTTTAACAAATTAAAAATAAACGGCCTGTGGCAAGAACAATGTGTTGCCTGAAGCTGTGTACATCAAAGCAAAAAGCTGACATTTGGGAATTGCTACCACTAGTTGCCCTTTTAAGCCTTTATTGTGATCAGAAGACTATTTTAAAAGCTAATTATTCTGAGTTGATATTTCTTTTCACTTTGAACTTATTCCAAGTGTTTGTTTGATGTTTTCTTATTTTAGTCATGTATTCATTTTTTAAGAACTTTGTTGGAAAGTATGCCTAGACTTCCACATGCAGAGAGGAGGTATGCTAATAATGGATTTAATGGTCAGCGCTCTAACAGTGTCCAAAAATTCTCAATTTTTTTTTAAAATGTTCTTTTTCTGTTTTTTGTGATGTTTCGTGGGTATCAGGGTGAAATTAAAAATCATAAGCAATTTGATTTTTAAAGGTTTTTCATTATTCTGCTTGAATTTTGTAGATAAAAATTAACTGAATGAGGCTATTGCCCACAGCCATGGCACCCTAAAAGCAGAAATGATTTTTTGCGCCCAGTACTCAAATGCAGGCCTCACCAGTGAAGGGGCGGTAGACCACCATCTGATGGTATTGATAGTCCAGAACTTTGAGACACTGGACCTCTTCAAGCCTGTTGGAGCATTTTTATTGGATTGCTTGGATATCCAAGAGGTTTTTGTGAGTGAAATTCTAGTATTTTATTAGTCCCTTATTAGCCCATTGCATGCATCTATTTAAGTTCATCTGCCTGCCTGCTGCTG